GTTTTACCGGCAGGCGAGCTTGGCGATGGGAGCGAAAACCCTCCGTATCCGGGCGAAAGACGTCCTGAAGTGTCAGAGGTGGCAGAGGGGGAGCGAGCAGTGATGGGGACCATGAGGCCATTGAGGTTCGTGTCGGAGGCTTTGGGACTGGCATGCGCCGATGGCTTGTTTTCCAATTCCGGAGGAACCTCGTCTGCAGGAGGAATCGGCATGCCACGAACAGCAGCGACCAGTTGATGTTCAGCCCATGAGTCGTTGTGGTCGTTGAGTCCTTTCCAGAAGGGCGCTATCCGACGTTCAATCTGCGGGCGTTAGCCGTGCGCCCAGTCACAAGGCGTTTGAACATACCATGAGCTGTCTGACGATTTGCTTGTTAAAGTCTTCTGTTCCGGTGTAGGTTCCCAATGTAACTAAATATCCTCCGTCTACGCCCTCCTCCTGCATGCTCCGCTCGCGTTCCTTTTCCCTTAGCTCGCGCTCTTTGGCAAGCTTCCTAGCTTCGCGCTCGGCCTTGGTTTCGCGGCGCGTGTATCCTTCAGGAGGATCTCTACTGGAGCCAGGGCCGATGCCCAGGAACGATAGGTCGGGTCCACTGCCGCGGCCGGTGCGGGACGAGTAGATGCGATCGCCAGAGGCGTGCGACGAGTGAGAGGTGGCGGCGTGCGAAGCATCGCCAGCTCTGGAGTGGCCTGAATGACCGACGGAGGCCGTGGGACGACCCTCTCTGCTCGAGTTGTTACCCATGGTGGAGGTCCAGAGCTACAAGTCGGAGTGGTTGGAAAGGGATCGAGTTTCAACAGGTAAACATTCGATAGCTCGAGCAAAGCGGGGGACCCAGGTCGATGGCTCGAGTGTCACCAGGACTGCGAGAGGGGAAGTTGGTCATCCGCGGCGCATCGTGGGTGTGGTCGAATTGGGTGAGCGACCGGAGCTTGTGCAAGTTGCGAGAGGTAAGGTAGTGGTAACGGTGAGAGGTTGGCGGGTTGGCGGGGAGGCAGGTGGAGGATGAGTGAGGCTTGTTGTGGACGGGCCGAGGACTGGCTCTGGATGGATGCGGGAGCGGGTGCGCTGGCTCCAGCTGCGACGGCGGCCTCTGCTGTGCCTCGTAGAATGTTTCTTTTGCGACAGGATTCGCGGGGCGTGCTTTTCGAAAATTGGGTGCCGTGGGTTGGATGCGTGCGTCTGGTCTTGTCTTGTCTTGTCTTGGGTTGTGCGAGTCTGAAGCTGTGTGAAAGGCGCGCCGGGTCCGGCCTTGTTCCCGTGCTTGTGCCTTGATTACCTGGTCGCTTTGCAGCGCCGCCCTACAATCAAATCATCATTCAATCATCATCCCGGCTCGCCCTTATTCGACTTCAGTTACGTCAGTCTGGGTGGCCTCGCAGCATAGCATCATGTCGCCCTCCGCTGCTCCCGCTGCATCACCCCCGTGATCACTTCTCACGCGACCGCATGCCACTCGTCATAAAGACTGAATTGTTCCCGAACCGCGATCCCATGCCAAAACTCCACACTCCACCAGCGCCGTTCGCAATGTATCTATCGTGTACACGTAATCCCGTCAACGCAGCGGCAGGTCTTTCATGTCTGCGGCTTCTGGCTCCGGGCTCGCTGCAGGAGTTGGCCATGGGGCTTCGGACTCGACTTCCGTGACCGCTTTCTTGGTCGTCCTTTTGCTAACAAAGCCCTCCGACGGCGACTCCCACGTGTAGTCGACAAAAGATCCAAGACATTCCTGCACGCCCTCGGCCAAGATCTGGACGGCGTGCTTCCTGTTGCGACTCCACTCGTGGGCTCGCCGCCAGCGACCAGCGCGGTCGGCGATTCCCTGGCCATCCTCCAGCCCATCCAATATGCTCCTCCAGACCGTCATGGTTTTCTCCAGCTCGGAAGCTTTGCTAACGCCAATGACGCTCACTCCCAGCTTCTTGCCGCCCACTTGCTCAATCGTCTCCCTGGTCAGCGGCACTCCGGAAGCAGGATCGCCAAGAGATCCAACAAGCGCACCCGTCTGCAGCCAAGTCTCGAGCGCAAAGCGGATGGCGAGGACCTCGAGCTTCTCCCCGTACTTGTCGCAAAAGTCGGAAGCGTCGCGCACCGCAGCGCGCAACTCTCTACTAGCCGGGTGAAAATCCCCCATGGAGCCGACCGGTACGCCTTCTCTCCGCAATAGACCCATGCCCAGAGGGCTGGCGTTGGGCACCACGTCGACGCCCGCATTCACCAGCCGCTCTATTCCCTTGGTTGCCAGTGTTGTGTTTTGCAAGGTAAAGTTGGCGTAGTTTTGAACAATGTCCAGCGGCTCTCCAGTCTCACCGAGGACTCTCTCCGAGATGCGACACAAAGTGTCGACAGGGTATCCAGAGATCCCTACGTACTTGACGGTCCCCGTCTCGTCGCGAATCCGGCGCAATTCGCGAATGGCACCCAGCACTTCATCCTCGCTCACGAACTCTACGTCATGGCAATACACGGCATCCAGGTATGGTGTCCTGAGCCGCTCGAGGCTCCGTGCGACCGATGCGCGCACCCATTCCGGGCTGTAGTCGAACTCGTCCGAGGAAACGCGACCAACTTTGGTCAACAGAAAGTATTCCTCGCGCGGAACCGACGCGCGCACAAAGGGCGTCGCGAGGGCGGCGCCCAGCAATGACTCGGAGGGCCCGTAATAGGGCGAGGTGTCGAATGCGCGAATGCCCAACTCGAGCGCAGACTGGACGAGTCCAACAGTGTCGAGCGCATAGGGATCTTTGTTGTATTGGTGGTTGAAGGTGGCGGTGCCAAAGATGAGGGGCGGCAGGCTGGCCGACAAGGGCGTCTTTGCTTTTGCTGCTAGGGACATGATTTTGAATTTTACGGTTGATGGCGAGTAAGGCGGCAGCAGGACCGAGGGCGGGCGTGAGCCAATGGGCGAGTGAGGCTGCAGAGGTAGGTTGGCGGCTGAAGTTTATTGTCGCGAGTCGAGGCAGAATCGATGAGGCTCTTCCGGGCGGCCTGGGGATGGAAAAGAAGGTTCAAGGTGTTGTCGGGTGCAGCAGCGGGAACGCTTTCTGAGAGGCCGGGCGTTTGAAGACAATCCAGAGAGCCGGAGAGAGCGAGAAGGGAGACGGACCCTGAAAAGAAGAGAAGAGGGACGCGCAGACATGGCAGCGAGGTCCGCCGTCCGCCGTCCGCCAACAGCCCAGCCAGCGAGCCCAGACGTTCGGCCGATCGCGCTCAAGTCGTTGACGTGCTTGATTATTTGATGCCTGAAGATGAAATGTCGTGGCCGCGCTAATGCAGGAACCACACCGCAATCAGCGTCTTCAATCCACCAATTCATGATTCTACGCGGCACCGACTTTGGCCAGGCTGGCCGCTCTGGGCCCGCTTTGCTTCCATGGCGCTTGTGATTGCTAACACGGCCGCCCCGATCCTCCACCATCTACAACCTCCCAGGTTCAGCTCGGCAACCGACCGAACACAGAACCCTGATCGACACTGCCATGGTCGACACGACGCCAACGGCTGGCATGCGTGGCTGGCTGGTTGGCTACTATAGTCATCTCATCGAATTGGGCCTCGGACTTGGCTATAAGCACTATCTGCCACGCAGAAGATGGATGCGGCGCTGGCCCAGACTGTCGTTGCTGGAGTCTGAATGCCATGCGCCGCTCCGGGTCGGGATGGATCGGGTGCTGCGCAAACATGGTGTTGTGGGGGAACCAACACGCTGTCTGCTATGGCGGGATTGCGCAACGTGCAGTGTGTAGATCATGTCCTGGCCGGCGGGATTGTGGTGGTTGCGGGAGGCTCCTATCGCTGCAGGATAGAATACAAGAGAGCCTGCAAAACTTGCTCGAAATATTCACAGAGCTTACCGTCACTTTTGCAAATCCTCCATCTCGCGGCAAGCTCGAGTCCAACTCAGCATTAGTCGCCAAATCTTCACCGAGTCAAAAATCAAACTGCTCGAGCATACGTCCTTCTACTCGGCTCCGTCTCCTTCTCCGACTGCTAGATCAGATACGCTGGCGGTCTGCCAGCTCCCAGAGCAGCCAGCAAGCAAGGTATATGCCAGACCACTTTATCGCACGCAGCAGCGCGTTGCAGGCGGACGTGCGTCATCTTGCAGTCCGATCTATGGCGTCAGCAACACCCCGTCGAGTAACACCGCCTCTGCACTCATTTGTAAGCCTCGCCCACGATCAAGCCAAGCCAGTCACTTTTCCGCCAACATCGGGTGGTGCTTGGTGTCTTGAGCGGAAGGTAGTGGATCAGACAGATGTGACGAGTCCTCTGCGCCATTGTCCGTTTGTCAATCTCGAGTAAGCTTTGCTCGCGCACCCCCGCTAGCTTGGTCCATTGCTTGGTATTCTTGTCTGGCGCGGGAGAGATCCGTGGCTGTGGCGGGCCATGTTTCGCGTCTCGGCGCGTGGCCGGTTACACAGTCATGCCTTGATAATGCGCGAAGCTGCTGGGATGGTGGTTTTGATAGGACGAGTTTGCCCCTTTTGTTTCGAAGACTGCACTCCTCCTTTGACTTCACCCCTTACCATCCTCCTCATTTTCAAGCGGTCGGTCATCTGCGTGAGTCCGAGTCCGAGGGGTTTGAAAGAATTTGGTGGTTGAGCAGCGCGATCGGTTCCGCGACACAACTCAACTACCCAACACCATCACTTCCACCCCACAGACTTTCCGCATCACGAACAGACCTCTTCTTGTCTTCTTCCGCTTTGTCTAGCACGGTCCTCGACGCGTGCGACTCGGATTGTAGCTGGGAAGACGCCCTCGCGTTCTCGTAGCTCCACGTTGATATTATTGTTTCACCTCTTTCTTTTCCATCCTTTTCCACCCACTAGTCCTACCCTTTGTCATTGGGGTTATGCCTTTACTCCAGCGTTTCCTTCTCGCCGGCTGCCGCAAATTCGCCGCCTGGCACGGAGAAGCTGTGTCAACTTCCTAAGCCCCTTATTTTATGATTTATATAATGTCACAAGCATCTCTCTTCCATCAATTCACAAGCGGGGTTGGTGTAGTTGGTTATCACGTCAGTCTAACATCGAGTTTCCGAGCAATTGGAGCTTGTGTCAGAGCACTGAAGGTCGCGAGTTCAAGTCTCGCATCCCGTACTTTTTGCCCACCACAATCCCGGCGAGAAAGGGCCGAGCCTGCTTTTTGCCGGATCCCAAGGCGAAGGAGAAGCCATATCACAACGGGGAAAGGGAGGGAAGGGGGTTCTCTGGCTTCAATAATAGAATGGGGTGTAAGTGTCGACACAAAACCCCCTTTCCCCCCTTCTCCTCCCCCTTTTATGTGTTTGTCGGACTGGGTATGATGTGTGAGACCTGCTTGCTCATTTTTGGTTCACACTGCTATCTGCGAATTGAATTCTAGCCGCTTACCCTCGTCCTCGCGAATATTTAAAGATGCAGATCACGGCTTAAAGCTACCTCAGCCTTGAGTTCACCGTGTTTCTAATATGTCTAGTCATTAACACGCGCTACCACTAAGGCTTTTTTGGTCTTGTAGGCGTTTCTATCGTCTTTCGGATACTTAAGCACCAAAAGGTGGGGCGATGTGCTCGCTAGACAAGCGAGGGGCCAGAGAGGAGGGTTGACAAACTTAAAGATAAAGGAACGTGCGAGAGATGGATGGCTGTCATGATAAGGCGGTGCTTGGCTCCAGTCACAAGACAAAGAAGACTTGAGATTGTGTGGTGGTCACAAAGACAATAGATCTACATTTTGATTGTTCGAGGCGGATGAGGGATGAAGGTGGAGACTGGGTCGAATGTGTAATTGCACGACGAGGAACCTCTTCACTTGTTACACAACAGACGAGGGAGGTGGAAAACCGCTCCAGACCGAGTAATGCGATCCCTCGTTTTTGGTGAGGGATTGGCTAGCGAAATCCATCTTTCCATCAATCTTTAAGATAGCAACTCATGGCGAGCTTCACAGCTTCGGGCTTCCCTTCTCCTTCTCCGCCTTCAATCGCGCATCCCTTTCCCGCACCGCGCTCTTCAGCAACGCATATACCGTCTGCAACCGCGGCAGTTCGACGCCTCTCTGGCGCGCGATGCGGATGGGGAGGCCGAGAATGACCTCCAACTCCAGTGGCTGGCCGCGCTCCCAATCAAGCAGCATGCTCGGCTTGCCGCCCTTGTTGCGCTCGGTGCTCTTCAAAATGGCGTCGGGCCCTGCCAGCTTGTCCGGAAAAGGACGGCCGAGGATGCGCGGCGCGGCGTCGTAGAGCTCGGCCATGATGCCGTGCAGGTGCGCGCGCAGCTCCGCGTCCGTCACCATGTCTGCGTTGCCGCGGCCGCCGCTGAGAATCGCCGACGGGTTGAAGGCGGCGTTGATGAGCAGCTTGTGCCACCGCACCTGCTGCAGCGACACCTCATCGTAAAATTCGGCGTCGCGCAGCCCGCCCAGGTCGTTGAAGAGGTGCACGAGCTCGCGCACGCACGCGTCGCCGCGCTGCGATAGCTGATGCTTCTCATCCTGCTGCGGCGTCGATTCGTCCGCGCCCAGCCCGTCTGTAAACGCGCCCATGCTGATGCGCGTCCAGCGATTCTGCCTCACGACGCCGTGCCGCACCTGCTCCGCCGAGATGACCGTGACGGCTGAGATGACGGGGTTGCGTGGAAAACGCTTGCGATGCGCCTCTTCGATGCCGACTCCGTTTTGAATCAGCACAATGCACGTCGCGCCCGCGCCAACCACGGGCTCGATTGCCGCCGCGTCGTCCGTCACGTCCGGGAGCGCCTTGGTCGTCACAATCACGTAGGACCATCCCGACGCCGGCGTGGCCGCGGCCGCTTCGTCGATGGAGGCATAGACGGCGTGCGGCGCAAAGTGGTAGTTGCCAAAGTTGCGCGTTTCGAGCTCGATGCCGGAGCGCGAGAGGGCGGGGTAGTTGGAGCGCGCGACCAGGGAGACGTGTATATTTTTAGATGGCTACATCAATGATTTCGTTAGAGCTCGCCGTCGAGTTGATATCAGAGGTCAGGCACACACGTGATGAAGTCGTGATGCGTAAAAGCAGCCTACTGCGCCAGCGCCGACGAAGAGGATATGGATGGGCCTGGCATGGTTGTTAGCATGGGTCCAGATGTCGGCAGACAAAAGAGAGTTGAATAATGCGCATCTTACTTTGCATCCGACCGCTCGGCTGATGCCATGATGTAGGTGAGATCTCAAAGGAAACAGGGCTTTTGCGACGAGTTGGTTGAGAACGCTACAAACAGAGGCTGGAAGACTGGAGAAATGAAAATTTGACAAAGCCTGGAGAAATTCAAGCTGTAATGTGGCGTCTCATAGACTGCGATGCAGCAGACCAGATGCAACTGACAACGAGAGAGACCATCACGTGGAGTGACGACTTTCAGACGGGACCTCGGGAGATGATTCGGAGATGCTCTCTCACCATCCCGTCTCACCAGGCCGTCAGTAGGCAAGCATCAGGCCACAAGTTGAAACCCCAAGGCTAACGTAAATACTAAATTTTTACCGTGCTATGCAAAGTTGCGTCTAGGATATATGGCCAATAAAGTCTCTCGCAAAATTCCACCAAGCGCCATTTTCCCATAAACCGTGAATCTGATGACTACGTTATCCAAAATTCTTCCTGATTTTCTACAGCCAATGAGCTTAGAGCTTGGGCTTCTCCAGGCCTTGCCAACCAGCGGCCTCGGCAACGAGCTCAGCGCAGCGCTCACCGATGCTCAGCACCGTAAGCATGGGGTTGATGGTGACCATCTCGGGGAAAACACCAGCGTCCGCAATACGGAGGTTCTTAATACCGCGGACGTTGAGCTGAGGGTCGACGACGGCGAAAGGGTCCTTGGTGACGTCGCCCATCTTGGTGGTACCGGCCGGGTGGTAGACGGTGTGGTGGACGCGACGGCCGTATTCGCTGAGCTCCTCGTCCGTCTGGATCTTGGGGCCAGGGGCAACCTCGCGCTTGATCCACGACCGGAAGGGTTCCTGCTCGGCAATCTGGCGAGCGGCCTTGAGACCTGCAACAATCGTGGCGGCGTCGTAACCCTCGGGGTCGGTAAAGTAGCGGAAGTCGAGCGCGGGCTTGACGTTGGGGTCGGAAGACGTCAGGTAGAGACGGCCGCGAGAGCGGGGGCGGGGAATGTTGGGGGTCATGCAAAAGGCGTCGATGGGGGTGTCGTAGCCAAGGCTGGTCGGAGTCAGTTTTCGGCAGTCACAGTTGTACAAAGGACGCTTACCGAGCGGTGTTGTAAACAAAGGGAATCTGGTAGCAGTGGCACATAATGTCCGCAATGTCCTTGTCGTCGCCATTGGCGTTGGGGATCTCGCGGCGGAGAAAGATGGCGGCGTCAGAGTCCATGGTGGTCTGGTCGGCGGGCACAGGCTTGTTCAGCTCCCACATGATGATACTCTCGGGGTGGTCGAGCAGGTTCTCGCCAACACCGGGAATGTCACGGACGACGTTGATGCCCAGGCTCTGGAGCTGCTCCTTGGGACCAAGACCGGAGAGCAGCATCAGACGGGGAGTGTCGACGGCACCGTTGCAGATGATGGTCTCGTGCTTGGCACGAACGGTGCGCTTCTGGCCGTCAAAGAGAGTAATGTTGACGCCAGTCGCGCGGTCACCTTCGATGTTGATCTTGCTGACCCAGGCGTTGGTCAAGATGGTCAGGTTGGGCTTCTTCTCCTCGCCGCGGAGAATGGGGTGGATGTAGGCAACAGAAGCACTGCTCCGGCGGCCATCGTCGGGGTTGTAGGCAACGGAGAGGAAACCAACGCCCTGCTTGAGGTGGCCTTCACGCTTAATCTCAGCGTTGAAGTCGTGCAGGATGGGAATGTCGAGGGCCTTGGCGGAAGCAACAATCCAGTCCTTGCAAAGCTGGTTCCGGTGGCGCTCGTGGACGGGCTGGACAGTGTTGCGGAGGTTGTCCTGGCTTAAAGTTAGTTCATGACGTAGTACATGTCCACGCGGCACGTTACCAAAAGACGGTTGATGGTCTTGAAGTCCCATCCTTTGCAGCCCAGCTGCTGCCACCTTTGCATGTCATAGTCAAAGGTGCGGAAGGAGATCAGGGTGTTGTGGCTGGAGCAACCACCGAGGACCTTGGCGCGAGAGTGCCTGATGTGCGAGTTGCCCATGGGCTGCTCGGTGGTGCCGTAGTCGTAGTCAAACTCGCCGCCGAGGAGGTTGAGCCACTCCTTGAGCAGGAGCACGCGGTCATCCTGGTAGTCCGAGGGGCCGCCCTCGACCAGGAGGATCTTCTTGTTGGGCAGGTACTCGGCCAGGCGGCTGGCAACGACACAGCCAGCGGTTCCACCGCCGGCAATGACAAAGTCATAGTCGTTGACGGTGTGGGCGGGCAGCTTGGTGGTGGTGGACATTTTGGCGGGGCTACGACTATCAACGGAGCAGACGAGGAAAAAGAGGGACGGTTGCGGTTAGGACGAAGGACAGAAACAAGGAAAGGCGACGGGGAAAAGTCTCTTGAAGAGTTTTCGGGAGAGAGGATATGCAGGGCCCTCTGGGATCACCCTCGGAACTTTGGCAGAGGTTGTCAGGCCTCGATCGCACCGTTGTCAGTCGACCTGACGAAACGGCCGTCGGTCTGTTCCTGGCGCGGGACTAGAGCGCAAGCCGCGTGGTGGGGAGCGCGCGGGTGTCTTTGCTGAAAACGGGCAACAATGGAGTGCATCGATAGCACACGCTAAACAATTTTTCTCGACCACCGCTGTGCATCGCGATCCCGCGCCGCATTGCACTTTCTCTGCATTGACGTCGCCCTGTGTCGTTCCCCACTAAATCCAGTCCCGCCGCCGTCCGCCGCCCTCAGCTCTCACGTCCGCCTCCGTGCTCTTACGATCAACCGTCATCGCTTTGTTGTCACCACCATTGTTGAGTTCCCACCACCACCGCCATGTCGCAAACCTACGGTACGCGCCAGCTCTACTGGGACGGCAAGTCTCAGCCTGCCTCCTCCGGCAAGACGTTCGAGTCCATCGACCCGTCAACCGCCAAGCCCATCGCCACCGTCCATGCAGCCTCCCACGCCGACGTCGATTCAGCCGTCGCCAGCGCCCAAGCCGCCTTTCCCGGCTGGTCCTCTACACCCGCAGCCCAGCGCGCTCGT